TGTGTCACTACAAGATAGGGTTTATTTGTTATAGCAGTTTGTTCCACCCTAATTTTTGTGCTTGTTGAGTTTTATTTTTGTTCTCTTTTGCTTTGCTTTATTTTGTTTTTTGGAGGCAGGGCCTTGCGATGTAATTCATGTTGTCCTTGATCTCAGTATGTAGCTCAGGCCGGTCTCTAACTCATGGCAAACCTCCTGCCTCAGCCTCTTGAGTTAGCCTGCCCTAAGTAATGCAATATCTATTTTTTCTCTCTCTTTCTTCACTTTTCCCCTCCTCTCCTTCCCACTCTCTCTCCCTCCTTCTTTCTCTCTCTCTCCCTTTCTCTCTCTCTCTCTCTCTCTCCCTCCTTCCTTCTTCCTTACGATTTCATCTTGCCCCTCTGGCCTTGACCTTGTGACCCTCCTGCCTCAGCCCCTCCCCTAGGAGCTGGGGTTACGGGTAGTGCCACACTTCCCGCTCCTCTCGAGTCCTAATGAAGGAAAGCGCCTCCCTCCCAGGGAATCCCTCCACAGAACTCTGGACTCCAGCCCCTGTTTCGTCAATTATTTACTCTCCCCACTCCTTCAGCTCAGCCTTTCCTTCGAGCTCTGACCTGACCACATCTGCTCTGAAACAGAGCGCTCCTGTCACCTGCCTTGTGGGCGCCCCTCTGCGGGCGAGTCTGCTGTGCCGCCTCCCATGGACGTGTCTCTCACACCCACCTACCCCCACCTCACCCCGGACCAGGCCCCTCTCCCCATGTTCCTCTGCGACTGCTCCCCTTCCCCGCGCCCCGCTGGCCCCGCGCTCTGCTCTTATTTCATTTCACGCCTTATCTCCCTTGGCAGCGTTCTCCAGAGCTGATTCTCCTTCCGCTCCTGCGCTTCTGTGACGCCCTGCCCGGCAGCCTCCTTTTCCTCTGCGGCCCCTTCCAAGTCTCCACAGCTTTCTCTTCTCTTTCTCTAGTAAATACAGGTGCAGCCCCTATCTCGTCCACCGCACCAATGCCCTGCAGAATTGAGCCCAAGAAGCACTGAGCTACATCCCCAGCCCTTCTTATTCTTTTGAGTCAAGGTCTTACTAAATTGCCCAGGCTGGCCTTCAACTTGTGATCCTCCTGCCTCAGTCTCCTGTAGCTGGAAGACAGTCAAGCATCACCATGCCTGGCTGCCTGTGTAGCGCTTTCTCAGCAAGTTCATCGTTCATGTCACCTGTGGTTTAAATGCCCATTTATAGATGCTAATGTCATACATCCTTGGTTCTCCAAACTTACACATCCAGCTGCCTTCCAGATGCTTTTATTGCCCATGGGTGCCTCAATTTAATATGTCAAAATGGAATTTACCATTCCATCCATTTCCAAAAGTGACTCCTATATGTCCCATCTGGTGCATGGTAACCACTGCCCACCCAGCTACTCCGCTAGATGCATGGGAGTGAGCCAAGCTCATTCCACCTCCCCCAGGTTACCTGGCTCCAACCAGCCGCACACTCCTCCCTGTCCCTCAAGCCATCTGCTCACAAGCCCCCCCCCATCTTGGCCACCAAGGAACTTTCCTGGTCCTCCCGTTTCCTTCCCTTTCCCAGGTCATCTTTGTGCTCCCTGCTGACAGTTTCACTTCCCTCCAGCCTAAAGACCTGAGGTTGTTTCTCTCTTTGTTCTTATTCATACAATGCCATTTTTTCTTGAGTATCTTTTTCAAATGAAAAAGTAATGTTGTAAAATAGTTTATAAAGCTATTTAAAAGTTAGAGTCACTCTTCAAGCAGTCCTCAAATTTTCCTCCCATATATATATATATATACTTTTTTTTCTAAAAATAGGAGACTTTTCCCCCCAGGCAGGACTCAACTTTGTGATCCTCCTGCCTCAGCCTCCCTCAGAGGTGCAATAACAGGCCCATGCCACTGCACATGGCTCTGTACCTCTTTTAAGAGGCTTTTGTTTGTTTACATTTTAATATCTCTGAAACCCTAACTTGTGTAATCAATGCTGCCTTGGGTCTGGTTCAGGACAGGATCAAGTGTTCTTTCCTCATTAACACCAGTCATAATTCCAAGCCAGCAGCATCCTCCAGGCGACTTTCCCAAAGTCCAGATTGGGCCAGGTTTTGGCCCTCAGGAAAACTCTTCAAGGTCATGCCCTACCCAGCCCTGCACCCTCTGACTCCCAGCCCACTCTTGCAGTGTCTTGCACATCGCATCTTCCTCAAAGCCAAGTAGGCCATGCAGCTCTATTTGTAGTTATTTCCCCAAAATAGCTGTGCTAAACCAGGTCCCTTTGCCTTTGCACTAAGGTATCTTCTACCTAAAGGCTTTCTCACCCTTTCAACTCTAAGTTGTCTCTAATTTGAAAAATTGTCCTGGCCCCCATTGGGTTCTTGCTGTACCCCAGGAAGGAACAGTAGCAAGAATGAGGAAAAAATAAACCAAAGACAAAAAGCTGCGATCAGGGGGAGGTCCTCTGTCTCAGCGGAGAAGGGGAACTGCCCAAGAACAGTAGAGCTTTTATTTATACCAAGAGGTTGGTTAATTTTTGCCCCACTGTCCAGCAATCAGTTAACAAGCTACAACGGCTTGTTTACGTGTTTCAAGGAGCTCCTGTGTTCTCAGAGCTCCCGTGTTCTCGGGCTGGCTTTGTCCTGCACATGTAATTATTATTTTCCAGCTTCCGCAGCTCCCAACAGGCCCCCTAGCAGAGCCTAGGTTCTTCCTCTGCACCCCGTCCAGCTGTGGCACTTACCTCTTTGACATCACAGCTCCATGACCTTCTTGGTGCTGCTACCCACCAGGAGTACTGAGTTCTCCAGTACACCTTCTTTGTACCATTCCCAGCACAGCAATGCAACTGTATAGTTGCTCCATAAATATTTCTTTGGAAATAGTGAACTAGGTCCGAGAGAAGCAGGAAAATGTTCCCTGACACAAAGTGCAAAACATTCTAATTCGCCACCCCTTCCCCTGGGACAAGACAGAGAGCAGAGGGCAGGTCTGCATGGCGACCCACCTGGAACCCAGAAATCGAAAGTGATTCAATTTCTCTAGTTTCACTCCTTGTTTTTTACTCTGGCAGACTTGTTAATTCCACTCTCAATGAAAAACAAGCCGATTTCAACAACCAAGCTTTCTTTCTTTCTGGCTCTTTGCTTGTTTTTGAGACAAGGTCTCACTATACAGTTCAGGCTGGTCTTGAGCTCATAGTGATTCTCCTGCCTCTGCCCCCTGAGTGCTGGGATTACAGGTGCGCACCACCTCACATGGCTCAACAACCATATTTTCAATGATGCCTTCCTTTCTTTCTCTGTCTTTTTAGTGCTTCAAGTCCATAGATGTCAACATCACTGTGGCCCCTTTGCAACAAGTTCATTATTTTGGAACCCAATGTTGTGAAAAGGACCAGAGAGGGACTCTTTCCACTTTGCAGCTTAAAATGCCCACCTGAGAATTCCACCTGGACTCCCTCCTGCCTAAGTGTGGTCACACTTCTGTATTCCCACCAGGAGTCAACCCTGGGAAAGAAATACAGAGGAAAGTAGATGTTTAATACCAAGCCTCAGTTCTAATAGCCATGCCAAGGGCTGAAGAGTTGTAGAGACATAAATGGAAACCATTCACTCCTCAACCAAGCATTAGTTTAAAACTCTAGAAAATGTCCAATATGGTTAAAAAAAAAAAATTCCAGCTCTTCTATCTGACCTAGATAATTTAAAGCCACCAATTCCAATTCATTCATAGAAAATTAGCACAGCACAGTTGGGGATTTAAGTAAAACTCAGCTGGTGTGGCTGATACAGCAGTCCCTAGGGCAGGCCCACACTAAAGCACACCGACAGTCACAGGAGCAGTGTGCTTTCAATAATCTGCCTTCATAAAAATAACAGGGGCTCAGGAAAAACCAGAAATTGTGGAGCAAAAGAAGGAAAGATGAGAAAGAATCAAATGATGGGGAAATGAGAATACAGAGTAGGAAATGCAGCAGACACGAGAGGATTTTGAGAAACATGCATGTGCTGTGAAAACTGGGGCTGGGATAAACGCGAGTCTTGTAACAGAAAGAAATGAGGAGACCACACTACAGAAAGAGTTCAGGCTGAGATAGGGAGAGGTGCACATCAGACCCTGAGGGGTAACGCGCTTGTAAACAGGACTGATATAGAACAGTGAGGCAGGGTCAGCGTGCACAGAGAAAACAGAGGGCGCTAGCTTTTCTGTGCGTGTGTGTGTGTCTGTCTGTCTGTCTGTGTGCTCGGGCGCTATAACTCTAATGTCTTTTTCCAGGCTAATGAAAAGGACAGCTCCACTCAGAGCTGGTCTCTGAAGGAGGGCGCAGTCCTCAGCTCTTCCTTAGAGAATAAGAGTAGCAACCATTCTAACAACGTAGGAGCGGGCCACATCCGTCTGGCCTGCCCTGTATTCAACATTTTATATGTGTGTGTGGGAAAACTTACAAAGCTTTACCGTAAGCAAGAAAACACAAAACAGACTACAAATATCTTCTGTTCACAAAGTTTCAACTAAACAAAAAGAAAGTAACACCAGGTATCAAATACCTTAACTGGAGAGACATAATTCCTACTGATTGTGCTTCTAGGGCAATGAAAACCAGCAGTGATTTCCTTGCACCTTAACTCGACAACGACAGAGGGGATAAGAAGGTGAAGCCAGCCTCGGCCTGTGATGTCAGGGAGATTTCTTTCCAGGGCAGACTTGGGTGGGAGCTTCCGCTTCGGTGTCTCGCTGTCAGGAAAGGTTTGGTTTGGAGGCAAAGTGGCCCTCAACGCGTCCACCAGAAATATGAAATCCCTTCCCAAACGCGGTCGTAAAGGCCCCTTTGGAGAGACCGCGAGGCGCTTGTTCCCCCACCGATCCAGCCTTAACCTGCGCGGCGCGGGCGGCGCGGGGACCCCTCCGTGGCTTTGTCCCGCCAGCCGCGGGTCACCTGCCTGCCCGCCGCTCACCTCCCGGCGGCTCCGCGGCGACTGGCGAGAACTGAGGGCGGAGGGAGGGCGGGGGCGGGCCGGGAGGAGGTGTCACCAGGGCGCAGGTGAAACCGACTCCGACCTCTCCCGGGACTCGCGCGGCTGGGCCTCGCGTCCCCCCGGGGCTGCCAGGGAGCCGCCTTCTCCTTCCGGGGTCGCCCCTGGGGACCCCCGGCCCCTGGCGCGCTCGGGACCCCGCCCGCCCGGAGCACAGGTGACCCCCAGGCCGGACCGGCCGCCGCAGCGATGGCCCGGGAGCTGAGCCAGGAGGCGCTGCTGGACTTCCTGTGCCAGGCGGGGGGCCGGGTGACCAACGCCGCGCTGCTCGGCCACTTCCACAGCTTCCTGCGCGACCCCGCCGCGCCCCCGGATCTGCGCGAGCACCGCCGCCAGCTCTTCAAGGGCTTCGTCAACTCGGTGGCGGCCGTGCGCCAGGACCCCGACGGCACCAAGTGCGTGGTGCTGCGGCGCAGGTACCGGGACCTCGTGGGGGAGGGGCCAGGGCTGGGGGCGCTACCCGGGGCGCAGAGGCGCGGGGCGCGCCCGTGTCCTGCCGCTGCCCGGGACCAGCTGGGGACCCCGAGCCCCGGACCCCCACATCCTCAGGGCCAGCGCCCTGCGCCCTCTGCCCAGGACCAGCTGGGGACCGCGAGCCCCGGACCCCCGCATCCGCAGCGCCAGCACCCTGCACCCCCGACCCAGGATCAGGCGGGGACCCGGAGCCCGGAGATCCCGCATCTGCAGCGCCAGCGCCCTGCCCCCTCTGCCCAGGACCAGCCGGGGACCCCAAGCCCCGGGCCCCCCTATCCTCAGCGCCAGCACCCTGCGCCCCCGGCCCGGGACCAGCCAGGGACCCCGAGCCTCGGACCCCCGCATCCACAGCGCCAGCACCCTGCACCCCTGGCCCGGGACCAGCAGCCGGGAACCACGAGCCCGGAGATCCCGCATCTGCAGCGCCAGCACCCTGTGCCCTCGGCCCAGGACCAGCCGGGGACCCCGAGCCCCGGGCCCCCCCATCCGCAGTGCCAGCACCCTGCGTCCCCTGCCTGGGACAGGCCCGAAACGGTGACACCGGGGACCCCGAGCCCCAAGACTTCACATCTGCAGCGCCAGCAGCCTGCACCCTCTGCCCAGGACTGGCCAGAGCCGGTGACGCTGGGGACCCCGAGCGCCGAGACTCCACATTTTCAGTGGGACAACCCTGCAACCCCGGCCCGGGACAGGCCGGAGCCGGAGACCCCAAACTCCCTGTACCCCGAGACCGTGCACCTGCAGCTGCAGCGCACGCGAGAGTGGGTGGTCAGACACCAACAGATGCCTGAGCCCACGGACCCGGGCCCAGTCCGGGCCTGGTCAGTGCTACCAGATGACTTCCTTCAGCTGCGCTCAGAACAGGTTCGGGGCCTCTTTCCAGGGGTCCCCGCCGAGTCCTCGGAGCCCTGGCTGGGGAAGCCTCCACCGACCGTCTTTCGGAGCATTCGCTGTCAGCTGTCCTTGCAGGATCTGGAAGACTTTGTAGACCAGGAGAGCCACGGCAGTGAGGAGAGCAGCAGTGAGCCCAGAGAGTCCCCTGGGGGCTCAGAAGAGGGGGTGCAAGCTGTCCTGGGAGGCCTCTCTGCATCCCCAAAGAAAAGCATTGCCAGCCCAAGACCTCAGGACCTTGGAAGGGGCAGTCACCGTTCCACACAGGCCCCACCAGGGGCTCCCAAGACCCGAAGGTCCTTCAGGAGGAGTCCTCAGGCAGGGAGGGCCACTCTGTCCTCCTCTGATGAGGAGTGCCTTGATGAGGACTTGCTGAAAAGTATTCGTCGCCCCCCTCGACTCAGGAAACCTTCTAAGGCAGGACCAGTGCCCAGCCCAAGGGTGGATGCTCCTTTGACACCAAAACTGGCTGGCATTAAGGCTGTTGTGGCTGAGCCTGGGAGGTCACACAGTGGGCAGGTCCCCAGTAGGGAAGGGCCTGCAGCCTTGGTACCTCACCGACCTTTTGAGCACAAGTCATCCCTGGTCCCCTTAGAATCCAGGGAACATGATTGGATTGTGAAGCTTGCTAGTGGCTCCTGGATCCAGGTGTTGGCTTTGTTCCGGGAGGACCCCCAGCTGGCTCTGCACAGGGACTTCCTGACTGGCTACACAGCTCTGCACTGGATCGCCAAGCACGGAAGCCTCCGCGCCCTCCAGGACCTGGTCTCAGGGGCACGGAAAACCGGGATTGTGCTTGATGTAAATGTGAGGTCCAGTTGTGGGTATACCCCACTGCACCTTGCCGCCATTCATGGCCATCAGGGAGTGATCAAATTGCTCGTGCAAAAGTTGGCATCTCGGGTGAATGTCCGGGACAGCAGTGGGAAGAAGCCCTGGCAGTATCTGGCCAGTAACACCTCTGGGGAAATATGGCAGCTACTGGGAGCCCCTCGGGGCAAGCCCATTTTCCCTGTACATCCCTTAGTCCAAAACTCTTCCTCTACCGGGAAAACCAAGAGTCGGGAGACATCTAGACACATTACCCGGAAGACTTCCTTGGCTGCATTGCTCAAAAGTCAACACAACAAATGGAAATTGGCCAACCATCAAGAGAAATTCTCCACCCCGAGGGAGCGGGAGGAGTACAGCGACTAGGTGGCCCCTCTCCGCGTGTCCCCCCCCATTTCTGAGCTTCTCAGTGAGAATTTGGGGAGATAGAAGAAGGTGGAGGAGCTGCTAAGGAGGGAGGTTGGCAATGGACTAGGGGTCATCTCTGCTTTTGAACCTTTCCTTGAAACCTGGACCAGGGGACAGAGCCAGGCCTTCAAAACGCAGCTGTTCCTCCTTCTCTTCTGCCAGGGTAGATCTGGTCAGAGTAAGTCACACTGCTTTCTGTAGCTACAACCCCAGGCCTCAGCAGGAGAAGGAACAGATGTCTAACAAAAAGAGACATAGTTCGAGGAATTGACAAAGCTCAGGCGAAATGCTCTCTGGCTAGTAGTTCTCTGGCTTTTCTTCATTTGGAGAAGAAATCTTGGCTGAGAGTGGAAAGCACCAGGTTTGAAACCAGATGGCTTTCTCTTTGTCTTTATGTGCTTTTTGGCATTCAAATGAACGAAATAAGATTATTACTGGAGAGTAGAACTTGACTGAGGAGATTCTGCAGCCCTGTCCTGAAGCCCTCTTCTCATCCCACCTGCGGTGGTGGATGTGGGCCATGATTCGCACCTCTTCTGGGTGTCTTCTGCACTGACCAGAGAAGCAGGGGGGTGAGACCCGCCTGTGACCTTCACTCCCCGCCCTGAGAAATGAGTGGCTTTCAGGCTCTGCTTTTTGGTATCAAGCCAAAGGGAACTTTGTGAATATAAAAACCATGTGGCTTATTTGCATAGTGACTGAAATTGTTTTCTAGGGAAACTCCCTGTGTGACAATCAGAATCATCATTAGTAGTTTTCAGTAGGTTTGAATGGCCAAGTGTTGGTCCTCACAAAAGAGAGGAACAATTGCTTTCTGGGGAAGCAGTAAGAATATGGGGCAGGGTGAGAATGGCTCCCCACCACAACTTTTCTAAGCTGCTAAGTATAACTTTATTTGCACTAAACTTGTTGCCAATTAAGATTAAATATTAGGCTTGAAGTACTGTATATCTAACAGGAAGTATCTGATCACTGTGGGCCCTGGGGTGAGGGAACAACTAGTCCAGCCTATAAACCGTAGCACAAGGGTGAGATTGCTGAATGTCAATCCAAAGAAGGCTGAAAAATTCAACGTTCAGGTGGAGATTAAGTTTTTATGGTAACGTTGTCATGTGTGGCAGCAGTGTTGCTGTGTTCTTAAGTATTCTTGTGTTTCTTCTGGTTCTATTCTCCCAATGAAAGATGAGCAGAGCTTTATAATTTATTATACCATACTTTTGCTGATTATTGTTAATGCTCTTAATGTATTTTATCAAAATTGTGTCTCAATGAATATCAAATATTTTTGTTTCTTTGTATTTGTGCTTTATACTTTTGCTGAAATAATTTTTTTTTTTTTTTACTTTTTAGTGTTGTAGATTGAACCCCAGGCTTCTTGCATGCCAGACAAGTGGTCTATCAATGAAATACAATCCCAGACCCTATCTCCTTTGAAATTTAAAAAGGCACAATAATTAGATCTACAGGCTTTCCCCACAAAAGACCTACATGAAGGATAAAAATTTGGCAAATGAAAGAAGAGAGAGAGAGAGAGAGAGAGAGAGAGAGAGAGAGAGAGAGAGAGAATGACTTGGTTTAGAGTAGAAGAATGCAAGATAAACATCTGTATAAACACTGTAGTAAATATCAACCTCTCAGAAGCCAGTGAGTGTTTTTTTCCATGTTGGTATCATTATATCAAATTCTCTAACAAGGTTTTTCAAGGTGCTATGAAATTTGTAAGAGTAGGTGACTTTTACTTAAAATCCTGTATTTATTCTTGGTTTGCTTTATACCTTGTCTTGCTCACAAGGGATCTGTCAAAGATGCACTGTCTCACATAAGTGCTTGTGAAATTAGCAAGGGGGGAAAAGGCACTGTCAGGACTGAGGACAGACAACTGCACCATAAGAAAAAAACATCAACATGTCATAAGTGCAAACTTAAGTGCTCTGGAAAAAATAAGAGCAAAATTAAGGGTGCTGGATTTCAAGAAAAAGAGAGGGTAGGAAAGGGAAGAAAGAGAGGGGAGGGAGAGACAGAGAGAGGGACTGAGAAGTCTTTAGGCTGGGAAAATCAGAGAGGGCGTCATGGAGCCCAAGAATCTACGTGAACGATACTGGCCGTCCCAAACCAGCTGTGGTAGTTCTACCACATTCTTGACCTCTGCTTCAGTGTGTGGTTTACATAGCTCCAGTGCTGGCTGATTGCTCACTGCTTAGAACACCCACCTGGGTCTCAGACTGGCTGTCATTAGGATCTGTCACGTCCCGCCTCTGTCCACACAGCGCACCTGCCCTGGTCTCTTACCTGGCCCACACCGGTGTTGGAGAGGGGTCGGCAGAAGAGGGGGTCCAGAGGAAGTAAACCTGACTACTCCTTCACAGTGTTGGGAAGTCCCAGCCAGGGGCTCCCAGCCAACACTCTGCAGTGTCCTCCAGCGACCCCTGCCATTGCCCCCGTAGCTGCACCAGACCCACTGGGGTGCTCGTGGCCGATCCTCTGAGTTTGTCTTGGTGCTGGATTCCTTCGGCTTAGAAACGCCTTTTTTGCTCCTTTTCTGGTAGAGACAGTTCAAATGCAGCCTGTGTGAAAATCCCACAGAGAACACTTCCAAGCCAGATGTATGGCTCCTTCACCAGAGTTCCTAGAATCCTGCGGCATACCTCACGGTTTTTGACACATCCTGCTTAAGTAAATTGCATGTTTGGATTTTTCTTAAAACTTCAGGCATGCCTATAATCCCAGCCCTCAGGAGGCTGAGATGGGGGATTGCTGTGAGTTCGAGGCCAGCCTGGGCTACAAAGTGAGCTCAAGGCCAGCCTGAACTGCCTAGTGAGACCACGTATTAAAAAGACAAAAAAAAAAAAAAAAAAGACTTCAGACATCTATAGAGTTTAGAGAAAATGTTTTTCATTCATCTCAGTGTATGCGATTTTTTTTCTTTCTCACTATGTTGCCCAGGCTGGCCCAGAACCCCTGGGTTCTCCAGCCTCAGCCTCCCACAGAGCTGGGACTACAGGCACTGTCACTTTGCCTGGCTAGGTGTAGTGGGTGTCCGTGGAGTATCCCATATAGAAGGGACATAATTTCTGCCTTCACAGCTCGTTGGCTGCCAGGGAAAGAGTCTGTGTGAGTGTAGCCACTGAGCAGTCTCAGCACTGTGGAAATGGGCAGACACACGCTTTCGGGCTGCAGGATGCAGGGGAGGGGCGATGATGGGGCATTTTCTAAAATGCCCCAGCTGTAAGTGCTCAAAATAAAAAGTTCAGTGAAATATTTACATTTCCTGCTCTGATGTGTTCCTGAATAGGGAAGTCAGGAGGTAGGGTAGTTAGGTGGGCCCTGAAGGGCCAGGGGAAGACAGGAGTTCCGAAAGATGGTCCCAGGATGGCGAGGGCCTGAGCAAGGCTGGAGGCTGAGGTGGAGGAGATACTTAGCCATCTGTGGTGCAGAAGCCACACATGAGGCTGCAGGGGGCAAAGGTGAAAGTGGAAAGGTCATCTAACACCAGCTTGAACGAACGGTTTTTAAAACTAAAAGTATAGGCACTTTCTAAGAAGGCAGGGATTGTGAAAGCTCTTCTCCGAAAAACAGTGTTGCTCTAAATTTAGATGTTTAGGAGTGGTCTTTTTGAAATTCATTCTTTTATTAGCACATGTTTGCATGTAATGATTACATTCAGAGTGGGGAGCGGGTGCACATATGTAACATCCTGATTCTTTCCACTCCCCTACTCCCTCCATTCCTGATTGCAAAAGATTTAGCTCCCTGTTTCCTGTTACCTTTTATTTTGCTCTTTAAATTATTTATATTTGGGGTTTTTCGTATAAGAGAAACCACGCGATAGTTAAGCATGTGAGTCTGATTTATCTTACCTATCTAAAGGTGCACCCATCTTCCTACAAAAGTGCACTCTTAATTTGAAGACAGAAAAACATATTGCAGTACCCTCACTTTAAAAATGTAGTTTAAGTCTTTAGTGTTGTTAATGCTTGTTTGCTAGCAAATAGTGGTAGGTGACAAAGCAATTTGTTTTGTCTTTTTGAGAGACAGGGTCTCACTATGCAGTTCAAACTGGCCTTGAGCTCACTTTGTAGCCAAGGCTGGTCTCAAACTCGCAACAATTCTCCTGCTTCAGCCTCCCAAGTGCTGAGATTACAGCTATGCACCACCACACCCAGTGACAAAACAATTTAACAAACAGTAAATTTTAATTTATTTTATTTGATTGGTTTCTGGAGACAGGGTCTTGCTGTATAGTGCAGTCTCGTCTTGAACTCACTATGTATCCCAGGCTCACCTCAAACTGGCTGAGATTCTCCTGTCTCAGCCTCTCAAGTGCTGAGATTACAGCTGTATACCACCATGCCTGGCTGGTAAATTTTAATTTTTTTATTGTAACTTTTTTTGGGGTGATGCTGGTATCAAACCCAGGGCCTTGTGCATGCTAGGCTAGTGCTATATCTCTCAGCCACATGCCCAGCCCAATATAGAGCAATTCAGTATTAAAGATAAACATTAGAGATTGTTGATAATCTTACCTAAACTGCTTTTGTAGACATAATCACAAAGTAGTGAATTTCAGTTACAAATAAGCTGTGAATATTGAATATCTATGGCAGTCTTATTTTCTGCTGGTAAAATTGTGGATATTTAGCATCTTAGTGTGCTGCACATCAAATGCAGGGTTCCACATGCCTTGGTTCCCCTATAATTTTTAAAATAAGTTTTAGGATAGAACTCACACACCATACAACTCACCTGCTTAAAATGTGTAGTTGAATGGTTTTTAATATATGCCTAAGTTATGCAACCATCACCACAATACATTCTGTGCAAATCTGAGAACCGCTGATCCAGGCAATGCAGAGCCACCAACAGTTTAATTCAGGGCAGTGACAAAAGCAGGTTTATTTCTCTCTCTCTCTCTCTCTCTCTCTCTCTCTCTCTCTCTCTCTCTCTCTCTGTGTGTAGGGTAAGCTAGAAGATCAGTTACTGTAATATCTTAGAGTAATTCAGAGTAGAAATATTAGGAATGTTGACTCAGTGAGCTAGATAAAATGATAAGACTGCATATCTACAGGAAGAAAAGAAATGTTTGTCTGGAGGAAGTGACTTAATTGATCAGAACTAGGAAGGGTTAGGTAGGGACCGCTGTGCTTCCTCTTACCTCTGAAGTTCCCTGGTCCCAATTACATCACTTCATCACTGTGATGACCATATAGGATGGGGTGCCCCCGCCCCTAAGATTGTAAATTCCACCTCTGTTTAGCATAGCAGCTGCTGGGTGTGCTTGGGTTTGCCAACATCAAAGCAAATTGGAATATTCAGTGAGAGTTAGGGTACCATGGTTCCTGTCCTGACTTGGACAAGACCTGCAACTCCTCAGTTTTCTCATCTGGGAGGTGGGAATAATACTCACAGTATCTGAAAGGTGCAAATGAATTAATATAAAGTCCTTGGAAAATGCCTGGAGCCACAGTAATTCCTCATTAAATGTTTGCTATTAGTTACTTAAAATATAAGTTCACTTAATTTCTACCTCTACAAATGACAAAGAAATCCATTAGTTGGTTGAAAAGGTACTGTGAGAACAAAATTTACTTAAAGCCAAGCACTCTTTCTTACTTTGCTACCTAAAAAATGCTTGTGTTTCTCATTTCAAATGAAAAAGATTTTTCAGCCATCTCTGTCATTAGCTAGTGTTCGTCATTAAATGAACTATGTCTAATTAAAGTCACATAAACTCAGAACAGTCAACTTAGCAGCGGTAGTACAGCCTGAAACTGAAACCTGTGCAGAGCTCTGCAGGGGTGAGCATGGATCCACTGTCCCTCATGAAATCTGAAAACTCTAAATTCAGCCACGCAAATAAACTATCCGAATGCAACCAACTTTCTTAAAGTGAAGCCTCACAAAGGTTACTGACCTGTTCAACTCTTGAACTATTCCTCATAAAGAACAAACATGTTTCTGAATCTAGTCATAATTTTAATGTTATTGCTTACATTTACAAATGAAGAATTAGTGTTAGTATTACCAATATTTATTCTTTGCAAAAAAATTAAAACCTTACTTAGCTATGATAATCTTACTTCATAAAAGTATCATGACAGCCTTTTATAGACTTATGTGGAAACTCTTATACCATTATCTACTTTACCTGAAATAAAATCATCTGACTGGATGTGGTGGCGCACGCTGTAATCCTAGCACTTGAGAGGCCGAGACAAGAGGATCGCCATGAGTCCCAGGCCAGCCTGGGCTCCATAGTGAATTCAAGGCTGGTTGAACTGCATGGTGAGACTTTGTCTCA